AAATGAAAAATTTTATTCCCAAATTCGTTAAAAATAAGAAATAATACTCAAAATTTACACCTATATCTGCATTTATCCAAATAAAAGAAAAATTTATTACCAAATTTGTCAAAAATACGAAAAATTTTCAGAAGACTCTAGGATAGTCTTTATTTTTGTTCACAAAAAGAGAGGGCATCTCTCATCTCGAGGAATCCCCAATCTTCGCAGCTATCCTTGCGAGACATCGCGATAAGGATAATTTCAGCACGAATTCCAGAAGGTCAGATGAAAATAAAAGACACCGAGGAAAGAAGAAGGTCTGTCACGTCGCGCGCAGGTTCTGGAAGGTTGTTCGCACGTGAATTGGCAAATACGCGAGTCGACTCGTGATGAGGTAATTGAAGATGATTGTGCGATACGTACGAGATGAGATCACGCCTTCATCTGGGTCATATAATGGATTAATGCGAAGGAAGTAAAAATTACGGCGGGCAGACTTGCTTGAAAGCAAACCTTGAAAATCGGTAATCGTCGATCGATTCGTTCCACGGCGTTTTTCTTGATCGCGCGAACCAGAGCAACCAATTCAGATCGAAGAGGCAACATTTTCTAACGAAACTGAACTTTTGTTTTATCATGAATAAATACTGGCCTCAGGTCAAAATACTCGAGACAGGGAATAATTTTTTTTGGACAACTCGAGGCCATTTTTTTATTAATTATTTCTCTAGAATTCCTGGTTTTCTTGGGGAAAATTTGGAGCGGAGCGTTTTTATTTTTCAGTGTGAAGCTATTTTTTTTTTTCTTCATATTATTTTTATGAAATTTCAGCTAGACTCTAATAGGAAAATTTCTGTAAGTTTTCTTGTCATATTATCTCTGCTTGACTTTCTTATTAGCACAGCTGTTACTTTGAGTTCGTGCTTCTTCGTAACAAACAAACAACGTACCATGTCATTACGTTTCTCTTTATTCCTCTTTCCTTATTATTTCCTAGTTATTTATTTCTTGTTGTACTACTGAATATTATTAATTCATTAGTGTTCTTAATTTCTAAGGTATTTTTTCTATCATTCAATTGTCGTATTTGCGTGAATTGGAATTATTTTCAATGTGTTCAGTAATTCTCAGTTAACTGTTGACAATCATTCTCTGGTATTTGAAATCTGAAATATTGAGAGCGAACGAGATCTCGTTAACGCGATAACCCGAGTGAAAGGTTGCGACTCCTCCGCGTCTGAGATTCAGCGAAATTACTCATTTCAGCAGATAGCTAGTGCCTGACAAAATAACACATTAGATAATACGATAAGTAGCAGCAGATGAGAACCTATAATTGACTTCTTATGATCTGCCTGTTCCTTCGAGGATACATTAATGTCCCATTAAGAGTCTCTCACCGTAGTTTTCCATCACATAAATTACTTTAATTCACTTTTACTTTAATCTTACTTCAAATATTTTTTCTTCAGGTAATTTTCTATTTTAATAAATTAATATTTATAAATATTAATATAAATTAATATTTTAATAAATTAATATTTATAAATATTAATATAAATTAATATTTTAATAAATTAATATTTATAAATATTAATATAAATTAATATTTTAATAAATTAATATTTATAAATATTAATATAAATTAATATTTTAATAAATTAATATTTATAAATATTAATATAAATTAATATTTTAATAAATTAATATTTAATTAAATTTATATTAAATTAAATTTAATTAAATTTAATTATATTATATTAAATTGTATTTAATTATATTATATTAATATTTAAATTAAATTTAATTAAATTAATATTTTAATAAATTTTATTTTTTAAATCCTTCGAGTACATGAAACATAATTTTACGATATTTCTTCAATTTCATTTAATTTCGTCGGTATAACGGTAACTTTTGAACATTTTTTATTTTTTATCAACGATAAAGCTTCATTACAGATTAAAAAGGGAGGAAGTATTTGTTAATTGAAAAGTACAAAAAAAAATCTGAATCAACGGGTGAAAATTTCTCTCAGTTGAATTACTAATTTCCACTTCTAATATTGAATCATAAAATATTTCAGATTTGAATGATACAATATATATTTTTATATTTTCCTTCTCTCGAAATAAACAAGATGAAAGAGAATCTCGTTATAAAATCACGCGAGTCGCAATTATACACGTTAACAAACACGTAGCCATCATCTGTGAGAGATTATGCCACCTATTCCCTGAAATCGACCCGATTATCTAGCTTTCGTTCGCCGTCGAGGTTCCGAGAAACATTTTGGTCCCCCTTCGAGGCCGAAACGATCGTGTCAACACCGATCGAGAAACGGTTTCTGGAAGATTGTTTCGTTGACGTAAGATATCCAACAGCCCCACTACCTCGACCAGGCCAAGGTATCAAAGTCCCTGACGAAGAAATCGCCGCAGACAGTCCGCTTCTTCCTTTCGAAAAGGTAAGACGCCTTTCAACCTACTCACGTCTCTCCGCGTAATTTCTTTCGTCTCGTCGTTTTCGAATTTAAAAGAAAAGAAAAGTACGATCGACCTTGGTGTCTTTGTTTGGCAGTTTCTTCGGGGATTCGTGTGTCTGGAAGTGGAGGCTCGGATCGCGCGCAGCTGGATTTTCTTCTTTGAATATTTTTCGGAGTAAAAGTTGAAACAAATATTCGTCGAGGTGTTTGGGTCTTCTCTTTCGGTGTTTTTCAAATTGCTTGGTGAAAGAATTTGTAGGAATTCGGTCCATTTTCTAGCCTTCAGAAAATGATTCATTGAATTTCGACGAAAATTTATTGCAAAATTGAAATTATTGTTCTTTTTTTTTTTTTTGAAACTTGATATCTCCATTTTTTTTAATTTTTCTTTGGACCATTTGACATATCCACTTTCACGAAACACGTGAATTTTTCTACTATTCTTTAAAGTATAATGCGTCGATTTCTGTTAACTTTCGCTGTGCGTTAATTTGCAGAATCAGTCTATGAGAATGAAAGTGTTAATTTTCGCCGTTGTTGCGGTATTCTACGTTCAATCGGCACTCGGTGTCGACACACACGAGCACAACAAGGTCGTGTGTTATTGGAATAGCACGGCCTTCGATCGACAAGGTAACGTTTCTTTTGATATTCCGTCAACTTGATCAATTTAATAAGATTCTGAAATTTCTTATCTGACAAACATGAATGTAAATTCATTTAAACATTCTTTTTAATATATAAACGTTTCAATACTATGGTAATTTGTTCAACAGAAAAGAAACTAAAAACACTGGCAACTAAATATCCTGGAAATATTATTTGAAATTTGTCTCGTGTCAATGATCATTTATTTCGAACATAAATAGAAAATAGATAGCAATATAAATAATATTATTGCTCGTGGTATATTGTTCGTTATTTATTCTAATAATAATTCTCTATTTAAATCGATAATTTAATAATTCGCGTCTCTTTTCAGGGCCAGGAAAGTTCCAGTTGGACGATGTTCGCTCAGCCTTATCTCTCTGCACACACCTGGTCTACGGGTTCGCAGGGATCAGTGCGGACTCGTTCGAAGTTGTCCCGTTGAATCCAACTTTGGACACTGGAGTCGGGTATTCTTACTACAAGCTCGCCACACAACTGAAAAGAACCTTCCCAGAGTTGAAGGTCTACCTCGGCATTGGTGGCAACGCTGATCCTAACGACGACACTCACAAGTATCTTGTTCTTGTAAGTAACAGTTAGCCTAGTAGGATGAAATTTGTACGATTAGCTTGAACTCTCAAACTCAACGAAATGTTTGACATTTTTTCAATAATAGGATCAAACTGCCTGATCAGTATGTTTAGTCTAGTGAACTATAATTCGTTCAAGTAGAAATAAACTAGGAATATGAATATTGAGGAATCGAAGCAAGTTCTGATAGTCTAATAGTCCATAAAAATCCTTTCAAGCCAGCAGCAGCTCTGCTTGTCAGCCAATTGTAATTCAATTGCCATCCTCTCAGCCATCCTAACACTATTTTGGTCCTCAGTCTCGCGGTAGAAACTCAGTGTCCTCAATTGTTTCAGACCGAGACAGCAGAATCCAGATCCAAGTTCATCAACTCGGTCAACCGTCTCCTCAACGACTACGACTTCGACGGGATCGACTTGGCCTGGCAGTTCCCAACGGTGAAAGTGAAGAAACAACGTGGCACGTTCGGTTCCTTATGGCACGGACTGAAGAAGACCTTTGGCTATGGGAAATTCAAAGACGACAAGGAGCTGGAGCATCGCGATGGCTTCACCATATTGGTCCGCGATCTGAAGGCTCAGCTCAGGCCGAGAATGAAGGCTCTGACTGTTACAGTGCTCCCTCATGTCAACAGCAGCGGTGAGTCCAGTTTCCATTTCCGTCTGTTCACTTTTCTGTTGTGTTTCTCTTTGATCTCTGAAATTCGTCAGATTTCTGGGCTAAATACTTTTGAGTAACAGAAGATGATGATCTGGCGAGTGACGTCGAGTGTGAGATCGATTATCCAGACGTAACGCGGAAGAAGGGACAGGGAATTAATGGGAATTACGTCGTCTGTTTGTGTTGAAGTTAAGAACGTGATGGTGCCACCTGGCTCGCTTTGTATTACGTTATTTGTGACTGGACGTGTAACTGGCCAGTGTCACGTTCCCTAAATATTGAACATTGGTGAGAACCCGGTAGTCGGGGGGCTGTAACGTGCCCCAACACGTGTCAGTAAAATGGATTGCAAATAACACGCTACTATGGCCACTATTATTAGCACGACTATTCGTTACATTTGTCGGAGAATACCAATTTCGAAGCTTCAATATCTGAAGCTCTCGTGGACATTTGCCCACGCGATGATTCGTTTAAAGTTGGATTCTAGAAGCGATTCTGTGATACTTTTATGTTCAAACGTTGTGGAACAAATCAAATTGTGGAGATATTGTTTCCTCTCGTCGTTGTTCTTGCGAACTATGGACATTAAAAGTTTAATTTGAACACTTTGCAGTTTATTACGACGCCAGGTTGTTGGCACCCAACATCGATGCCGTGCACCTGTTCACCTTCGACCAGAAGACGCCGGAACGCAACCCGCAAGAAGCTGATTACCCGGCACCCATTTACGAGAGTTACGGACGCGTTCCTCAGGACAACGTTGACGCCACCACCAGGTGAGCAATTGTATCATCGTCACGTCAAAAGTCCCAAATTCACTAGAAATTCACTTGCTTTACCAATTTCTCTAGAATTCGCAGGGATTCCTTAGTCTTCGAGCAACGCGAATCCCCCAAAATTCCCTAGAACTCTCATGCACGTGGCGCAATTCATAAATATTTGTAAAGTACCGATTCAAACTATCAAAAGTCCCAAATTGCGAGAAAATCACTTACTTTATAAAACTCAATTTTACTATTCGTTACTATTACTAAAATTCGCAGGGATTCCTTAGTATTCAAGTAAATCCCCAAAATTCCCTAGAACCACGTGGCACAATTCGCAAATATTCGTAAAATACCGATTCGAACTATCCAAAGTCCCAGATTGCTAGAAAATCACTCACTTTATAAAACTCAATTTTCCTAAAATTCGCAGGGATTGCTTAGTCTTCGAGCAAATCCCCCAAAATTTCCTAGAACCACGTGGGCACAATCCGCAAATATTCATAAAATACCGATTCGAACTACCCAAAGTCCCAGATTGCTAGAAAATCACTCACTTTATAAAACTCAATTTTCCTAAAATTCCCTGCGATTCCTTAGTCTTCGAGCAAACCCCAAAGAATTCCCTAGAACAACGTAGCACAATTCACAAATATTCGTAAAATACCGATTCGACCTATCCAAAGTCCCAAGTTGCTAGAAAAGTTCCTTGACCAAACTCGACTTCCCTTTAATTCGCAGGGATTCCTTAGCCTCCAAACAACGCGAATTTCTTCCTGGAAATTCCCTAGAACCCTCATCCACGTGGAGCAATTCAAAAATATTCGTGAAGTATCGATTTGGTTTCAAGGTACTGGCTCGAGAATGGAACGCCAGGCTCGAAGATAGTCGTCGGAATCCCAACGTACGCCAGAACGTGGAAACTCACGTCGGACAGTCAGATATCAGGGGTGCCACCAATCGTTACCGACGGCCCGGGAGCAGAAGGGCCGCACACGAACGTGCCGGGGCTTCTCTCGTACGCGGAGGTCTGCTCCAGGCTGACAGAATCCGCTGTGGGCCGTCTGAGACGCGTTGGTGACCCGTCCAAGAAGTACGGTGGCTACGCGTACCAACCTTACAACGAGAACACTGGCGAGGATGGCATTTGGGTCGGCTACGAGGACCCCGACACCGCTGGTAACAAGGCCGCCTACGCCAAGGCGAAAGGTTTAGGCGGCGTTGTCATCTACGACCTGTCGTTGGACGACTTTCGCGGTGTTTGCACAGGAGACAAATTCCCCATCATCAGGGGTGCCAAATACAAGTTGTAAGAACGTTGCCAGAAAGAGACTGGTTGCATAACGAGAGAGTCTGACGTGGCCAATTCTCGTAACTTAAGCTGGAAAATGTATTTTTTTTTTTTTTTTTATTAGTTTTCTGAAGTATCCAGTTGGTTGGCCACTTGATGTTTTTATACTCCTTACGTGGTTTTAGTCTCTCGCGTATGCTACATTTTAGAGGCTGTTCAGCGTTTGGCGAAAATTGGAGGAGAAGATTCGTTGTATCGAAAATAAAGTTGAAGTCTTCGAGACGTCGTTCTTTTCTCTTTTCAAATTCCCCGCTCGTCGAACACTGTGATTAATCGTAATATTCACATGGTCACTATATGTTACCCATCGGGAGTAGGGATATATGTATATATAATGCAAGATGAGTACTATATTTTAATTGCAATGGAAAATGGGAGTAATTGGGGATCGTCGTGACTTTGGTACGGTGATCGATAGGTTAGGTGGTGATCTATTAAAAATACCTGCATACATGTAGATATAATATATATATGTATATATATACGTATGTATATTTCGTGCAGTCTATGAGTTCTGATAAACACATTTGCTCGGGTGTGTACGAAAGGTTTTCATTGTAAATGGACTCGTTAAATATATCAAATGTTAGGAGTTATGGCACACGAGACACAGCTAATCCGTAGTAGCCACTCTCATACGTAGAAACGAAACGTTCTTGAAGTTCCTTGTACATTCGTAGTAAGTCCCCTCGCTGGATCCTCCTCGTTGGATCGACGTTGCTTTGTCAGTTGAACAGAAATCATTTCCTCACGCTTCGTTCGAACTCGCCAACGCTTCGCCAAGAGACACTCGTGCACAAAATACAGTATTGTTGGTACAGTGAACGCGTTATACACGTCCGGCAGACATCTTCGTTCCATTCGATTCCTGCGTTTCGACTCGTCGTCCCGCTATGTCGAAACGATTTGCACTTTATTTGTTCTGTTATTCTTCCAAACGATATTCGTCAAACAGGCCGAAACATACGTTTCTCTATATAAAAATTAAGAATTCCTCGAAAGCGGCACGTTCGCGTGGTTTGAAATCGTTCCGAAAGCGGAACGGGAGGATCGAAAGCAGTCGCAAGCGACGCGAACACATCTTGCAGCAGTAATTGTACAATACTTAGAAAATACTGGGCGTGGTAATTTGGTGGAACAGCTTACACACTATGGTACAGTTAATAATTCGACATACACTTTAACAGGGTGGAAAGGGGGCGGGGGATGGTAGGGCACTCGCGTTACATTACGGCGTTATGATATATATAATATATTATAATATTAATATTATATATTAATAATATTAATATTATAATGTACATAATGAAATATAATATATGTAGCGTTACAACGTCCAATGACACAACAGTTATCCCTGATGCTTAAATCCTAAACTCTATTCTGAATCCTCGGTCCTCGCGAGGTGGTGGGTTTTTCGAGCGCCCGCGTAAGCACTGAGAATCTCCTCGTCGGGATCGACGCGTTTGGATCATCGCGTGTTCCATGTATAAGAAAACAATTTCGTCACTCGAAAGAAACTCTATACAGGGTAACAGATGGAATTTGATCATCAGTGTAACATAAAAGTGTATTTGGAAATTTTGTAATTGTTAATTTTAGCGCCCCCGATGTGCGAATTTCCCGTGTCTTACGAGCGAGCTCGAAGAGGATCGAAGGGCTCTCTAAGCAGGAACAGGACACACTCGACGAGATTACGTTGTTGAAAACATATCTGTGTGATTCAGATTCACCTCGCCACGAGGTCGGACAGTGAAAAAATAAGTACGCGGAGCTCTTTCTCTCTCTCTCTCTCTCTGACGTGACTTTCCTCTATTCTTTATTTCTCTCTCTCTCTCTCTCTCTCTCTCTCTTTCTCTCTATATCGAATGCTTCTTCGGAAAATGGATCCTTTTTTCCTTGGAAATTTTTGTGTTCGTGTGTCGGTGTTCTCTTTTTTTTTTTTTTCTTTTGTTTCTTCAAAAAACTAAGAAGCAGTGACGAGACAATTCGTCACGTTCTATTTCGTACGGTTTGTTACACCGGTGGGGGGATGGGAGAGGGGATGATACATATCTGCTGATTTCTCGTTTCAACTGATCCGTGATAACTCTAACAAGTTACTCGAGAACTTTTATCTTCTACGTTTTGTCCCTCTACCGGAAATTAATCTTCGTCTCTATGGTCTTGCTCTCCGGTTCTCTCGAATTTACGAGTAGTGGAATGAAAATCTTCAACGTTCGTTATAATATCTCTTAGAGTCAATACGATGCTGCTCTACAGGATGCGTCCCTGAAGATTGTAGGATTCGTTCGATATTTAGAATTTAATATTCTTCTTTTTTTTTTCTTTCTTTGATAAAAATTTATCTCCTCTGTACGTTTCAAGTTCAAACTGAAATTGGAAATTTTCAATCCCAAAGTTTATGCCACATTTCAATTCCATTTCCATAATTTGATCAATTTGTTGGAATTGAAGCGTATCTTCAGGAACGACCTGTATCGATAAATGCGTATTAAGTAAATGCGGATCACGTAATTGGTCAACTCCTCCGGATAAAAGTATCACTGTGTTATTGAGTACAGCGACTGTTTCTACCGATAACGTTTCTCTCTTCGTATAATAAACCCTTTCGAATACGTTCGATAAATTTAATTAGTCAATATCGCATCGTTCCTGCAACGATGTTGACGAAATAATTAGCGTTTAACGGTTTCTCTCTACGTAACGTCGCTACGGAAATGAAGCTCAGGGAGAGATGACGGGAACGTTTTTCTTTTTTTTTTCTTTTCTTTTTTTAGAATTTCACGCAGGTACAGAACAAATAATAAACGACGAATTTTCATCAGCTTTGAATGTTTCTCGGGGACGGAATTGGTTGTAAAATACAAGCGTGTAAACGTTAGAATTTTCGATTGCGATTCTTTTCTTTTTTTTTTTTTTCTTTCTTTCTTTCTTTCTTTCTTTCTTTAATTCGGCTGTGGTGCGGTGAGATTGTTTCTGATTCGTGTGAATCAGAGGGTACAACAATTTTCAGAAAACTTTCGGCAAGTCGACAATTTCTCTTTTCTTTCGAACTGAAATTCTTTCGCGGTTTCAGAGAATTTTATACTGAAAGGGAGAAACTTTCTAACGATAATCGAATGAAAAGTTTAATCGACGCGTGGCAAAGAAAGTTCTTCTTTTTTCCCTGGTTCACGTGTATTCTATCGATGGGGACTTTTCGACGAGGAATTTTTCATTTCGATGCGGAGGTGGATGAAGTTTGGGAATTCCTGTGACCAGCTAACGTAAGAGGACCCCTATTGGTTCTATACTTCTCGTACCATCCACTTTTCAATGATATCCGACTTTCCCTCAAACCCTTCGAATCGTTTGCAAATCATGCGTTACTTTGTAAATCAATCGTGTGTTACGTTTCTCTTCGATTATCAACGACGAGATAAATCTTACTTACATAAATATATATCTCTCGATAATCATAACGATTGCACGATAAACGAAGCTTCCTAAAAATAGCTCATCACATTAGAAACATTTAAACAAACGCATACGTCACACATCTCACCGAGATTAAAAAAAAAAAAAAAAAAAAAAAAAAAACGAACAACATACAGTTACGCAAGTTAGTAAAAAAGAGGAGAAAAAACGGTAACAACGAAGGGAAACAACGACACGTGATGTAAATGCATAAATGAATGACTATAATCGCGTTTCTCGGATATCATTTTCTTTCAACTTACGTTTACGCGAACTGTCTAGCTTAAAAACGATATAAATACCGATATCGCCCCGATTTTCGGTGATTCTGTCAAACTCAACAAGCGATCGATAGCACTAAGATACGAAGTCACACCGAACGATTAACGAGACGCGTGCACAACATGATTTCGCACGCGCCTGTGCGGTTCTCGCCGTCTTGGAAATCGCGAGCTCGTCCATTTCAAACGAGTGTTTCAGGAGGAGAGGCCTGTATTTTCAAAACAAATTTTACTGTAAATTGTCCTTTTCAGTGTGATTTTAGCACGATCTACGAAAGTCGAAATTTTATATATATAAAACTTGTTGCTCAAATAAAATAATTATATATTAAATTACGAAGTATCGTAAAACAGAAAATTTGCACACCCGAAGTGTGTTGTAACGAGTGGTTTAATCTGCAGCTAGAAATCGTGGCTCGTACAACACACTTTGCACAGTCGTCTCAGAAATGCAAATGACTCTGAGAATCGAACGATCGCGTCAGAGTTGCACGCTGTTTGATATTATAAGAAACGTACGTGCAATAAATAAAATTTTTGTTAACTTTAACAAACTGTAACGACTGTTCTAATATATTATTAAAAAAATTAATCCAAACTTACTGTTATAAACAATCGAAGTCTACAACAATATTTCGAATATGACGCCCGAATATTAACCACTTGCGCCTGGCAGCTGATTGCGGACCATAACGAGTGACCAAACCGTATATATTGAACAGTAATAAATTTATCATTTGTTTTGCCTGGGTTATACTTAAAACTGATTGAAAATATTGCAAGAGGTTAAATGTAGAGTCACTGTATTTCCTCGAGGCAGAAGGAAAGTTCCTCTGCTACCACGGTATATCATATTTCTGTAACGACTGCACCGATTTAGAAATCAACTGAACGTCCCGAATCTTGTAAAATTAACCAGTTTTTGTCCTACCTAACTCCAAGAAAAGCACCTCTTGATGATGCCGCGAGCCTTTTTCCCTTCGCGTGCCACGGGATGGCTCTCCTCCGGTCAAAGCACTCCCCCCCCCCCCCCCCCCCCCCCCCCCCCCCCCCACCCCACCCCTAAATTTCTTCAGCTTCCTCTTCAGCGACAATCCCTCCCTAAAAACGCGGATCGTCTCTACATGACGGAACACCGTGTGACGTTGTACCTAGTATCTTGGTCCACATTGTTCACGCTGAGCACGCGCAGCAGCCTCTCCGTGTCCTTGCACGCGTGCTTGTTGGTCTGCTGTTGCTTCATCAGCATCATCGACGTTTTCTTCTTCGGCCTCTTCTTCGTCTGCGGCAGAGTCAGCTCGAGCATCTGCTCGAGCCTCAGCCGGATAGGCCAGCCGGTCTCCTTGTACTCGTCCTCCTCGTACGTCGACTCGCCTGCTTTCTGCAGCGTCTGGAAGGCATAGTTCATGGGCAACAGCTTCCTCGGCTGGGCGAACGAGTCGTGGACGCGGACCGGACGAGCCAGTGACGACCTCTTCTTGGCCGGTGTCAGAGGCAGCGGCTGGTGGTGGTTCTTCATCGACCTGGCCAGGCTGCTACTCTTGGCGTTCTTCAGAACTCTGGTCTCGTCCAGGCGAGCCAGTATCTTGGCGTTCTCCTTCAGTGACGACGAGTTCATGGGACAACTGGTCACCCGGTAGTTGTTCATCGTGCTCTTTGCCACCAAGCTGCTGCTCTTGGTGTTCTTCGCCAGCTTTAGGTGATTGTTGTTGTTGTTGTTGTTGTTGTTGTTGTTGGCGGCGATGCTCGGATTGTTGTTGTTGGTCACGTGGCGACACTGCTCGGTACACTGCAGGCAATCGTAGTACTTCTCTGCCGCGTTGCGTCGCGCCGACGCGGAGAACCGCTCGCGAAGGTTCGCGCGATTCTGACGCTCGCCCGGCTGGCGAGGCTGCTGTCACACTTCCTGGAGGTACTTGAGAGGGCACAGGGTCTCCTTGTACAGCACCTCGCCCTCCTTGCCCGTGTGGTCCGCTGATCTCACGTCCGCCGCGCAGCGAACCATCGCCACACCGTCCACCTCCTCGCCAACCTGAATCACGATCTAGGAAGGACACTGGGCGTGAGTATTGTGGCCAATCTGTCACGTGCGTCTTTGTACTGAGACGTGCAAGGGTCGCGAAACTTTTAGGACTAAGAGCTTGGATTCAGTCTTGCAAAATGTAATTGCAACAAAAAACATTATATATATATTCTACATTATATATTTTATATTACATTCATAGAATGTACCAATTATACGGAGACTTATCAGGTTCTTTCTCTTTGAAATAAAAGTATTGGTAGCAGAGAGTAAAATATGAGAACAATTCTAAACTTCTGATTAGGTGTTGTCTCATAATGTTGGTCGTGTGGGGGAGTACCTGATCACGTAACAGGGTGATCTGATCTGTTAGTTGCAGGTTGCGAGTAACCTGAAGCGTCTTCTGTCCAGACTCCACTCGCATGACGTATGCACTGGGGAAGTAGCCCACTCTTCCACCCAAACACTTCCCCTTCCACCAGTCTTTCTCAGATTTATCGATCACCGTCACTTTGTAACCAGCTCTGCAACACGATCACGTTTCAAGTATAAGTAGAGGTGTACACCTCTCTGTCACTTATCATCTTTCTATCCTACCGCGCTGATCGAAAATAAAGAATCTTGGTTATTTTTCTAGATCCCAAAATATCAGAACAAAATGAAAATGCATTGTGTTGTTGAATGATTACTTCAGGTCCAACTCGTCCCGGTGTCGCGCCTCAAAGTTGTACAGCACCACGTACAGGTTATTGGGTGGCAGAACGCGCTTTCCAGGTGGATTCATGTGATTTTGATTGTTGGGGTGCGGCGAGGGGCAAGGCGAGGTGCTTGCAGACGAGTAGGACTTCTCGTTTTCATCTGGCAGCTCCATACTGGACATCCTGATCGCTCCTCTGATGTGCTTGTGGACACTGTGGCCCTGGCCTGGGCTGCACGGTGCTGCAATCGAATCGTCAAAGGTCAACAGATCATGATATATACTTGGGATGCACTCTGACAAGTGTGAGCTGATCAGAATTTTTCTTATAAATTATCTCTTGACGCAGAGAGGTCAAGAAATTGCACTTTTTTTTAAGCTAAAATTGTTGCCTGCGTGGATACATTGTCTGTACAGATAATAGTTAGCTGTGTATTCAGTTAGATCATAATAGTTAGTTGTGTATATTATAAACATAATAGTTAATTATGTGTATTAACAGTAATAGTTATGTTATGAATATAATAGCTAGTTGTGTATATCATTAAAAAAAGAATGTCAAACAGTGTTTTCGTCCTGTGATACAACAAAAAGTCACATGTCCAATTTTTACTATCGTATAACAAATCAGCTCAAGTGTTTGTTCTCCAGCAATTTCCACGGTTGATTAATTTAATAATCTTACCGTGTCTGCTCCCCCTCATACTCGTGGGAATACTCGCGACTTTAATAAGTTGCATCCACGTTAAGATCACGGAGACCCAATTAAACTCGACCGATTAATTAACACTCACATAATCTGTTGATGCTTCCGCTGTCAGAGTGTCTCGGTGGCGTGGACTCCCTCTGGCCACCGGTATAGTAATCACGCGGACGATGTCGGACGTGAGCGGTACCCTCCGGAGAATCCAGGCTGAGACTTTTCATCCTTAGGTTCAGCCTCTCTCGTCTACGTTGCGGACTATGCGGCGCTTCATGTTCCATAATGAGCGATCATAGCAAGTTAGCCTTTGAGGTTAGCCGAGTAGCTCGACATTGACGCCATTTTGCAAAGCGGTGTTATTACTTTATCGCTATTTTCTTTTCTCTTTTTTTTTCTTTTTCTTTTTTTGCTCGTCTCTAATTCGTAAGCGGACAGTTGAAGAGACAGGTGAAGAGAAAAGTTGGACAGAGTTTGCTTGCAGGGAGACAAACACGAAGGAAACATCTTGCCAGCAAGATGTTTACCTACCCTTTTACGTTTCTTTGAAACAACACAATGTCACAGAAGAGATTCGGGCATTTTTTTAATTTTTCAGATACGACAGAGACAGAGGAAGCGTGAGAAGTTACTATATATCGGACACAGTCTTTGTTCACACTAAAGCGCAACTTCGATCGATTGATAAGAGAAAGTAAAGTGGAGTGAACCAAGCTGAAGAGAAATTATTCGGGGGAGAGGAAAAGGAGAAACTTTGAATGCGAGATTTTTCGAATATTTCAATTCAAAAGATTAGTGAAAGCAAAATGGAGAGTACGCGATTTTCAACAAAATTCAAGTTCACACAGTTAATATATGCGTGCAAGAAAATTGCAGAGTGTCCACACTCACACACACACACACACACACACATATACAAATATGGAAGTGCATCATTTTTTTAATCGACTCTCAGAAATAGGTTCTTTGTTAATGTCCATTCGGGCAAAAATACTCGGTTGGCGTCAACGTCGAGACCGGAAGTGAAAACACATACAACGAGACAGAAACACGATAGATATGCGGTTACATCACGAATGCACACGGAGAAAATGTGTTTCTCTCGCCAGGTTTTAACGCAGAAGAGAAAAAAAAAAAATTTTTAAAAAAAAGAGTGAAAATAAAACGAAGAAAGGAAATCAAAAAAAAAAAAAAAAAAAAAAAGAAAAAAAAAAAGAAAATGGGACACGACTCGCGCACCAAGAAGTGAAAGCAGAGGAGATCGCAGAAGAGAACATTTTTATTTACAATATTTACAAGATTTCTCCCTTTTTCTTTTCTAACTTTTTGACGGATCTCGAATTAATTTCTCACGCAAACACCTTCAGCTTCATTTTCGTTCTTCCCTCAATTTTTTTTCTTTTCTCGTTTTGAAAATTCGCATTTTCGTACTTTGATGTTCTCGCGAAGGAGACAATTATAATTGAACAGAAGGAAGCCAGGAAATTAAGATTTGAAACAATGTTTAATAACACGGGTTCGAGAAGTTACATATTTTTTTTTTCGTTTTTTCATTTTCTTGTTTTTTTGCCTTTGAATTTCGTAATTCGCTGAAACACTCCCAGATTCGATAATCGTGTTAATGAATGTCGTGAATTTTGATCTTCAAGAGAAACTAGGCTACTTGAGACTGTAGTATATTATTCGAGCGATCTGAAATTATTCCGATGTAATATTGTGGTGGATTCTTACCTTTTCGACGCGGTCTTTTTTGACACAACCTGTACGTAAACGACAAAAATTCTACAAATAATTTGCATCGAACTAAGAGCTCCTGTCGTAATTTGGTCATGCTGAATTGAAAAAAAAAAAAAAAAAAAAAAAAACGAACATCTTGCACATTTACACCATGCGAAGATCAAAATTTTCTAGGCTCCAGAACAAGAGAAATAGCCAAATATTCAGCAATTCCAAATATTTCCGATCTTCTACGAGATTTAAGTAAAAAAAAGAAAAAAATTTATTCGTTGGAACTTAAACTACTGAACCGAGAGCAATTCCACCTTTTCTCCAATATTCTTGTTGGCAATTTGAGGAGGAAAAGAAAGAAAGAAAGAAAAAAAGGAGGAAAATTTAAACGCAAACGCGATCGATGGAATTGTCCCCAACGTCGACGTTCACTTTGTCGCAATTCCAACGTCGACGACGAATTTTTCGATTCGTGCGCGAAAACAAAGCTACGCATTCGAAAGAAAGAAAACAAAAAAAAAAATATATATATATATATACGTGGAAGTCGATCGATCTTCGTTCTTCTCGTTCTCAAAGCGAGAACGAGCAACTCCACAGGTTCCAAGACGCCTCCTTCTACAACGTCGTACAACTTCGAAACATCGAACCAACCTACTCGAACTCGTGTCTTAACTCGAGGGTTGCTCGTCGATTTCGCAACTTCCAAATACATTTGCAAGGAACGTTAACCGTGGTGTTTCGCGGCTCGTAAAAAACGAGGGTCGTGTGCTAAAAACCTCCACCAGTTCAGACTTTTCCCCCGACTCCACGTTCGTCCGCGCACTCGCGAGCGTCTCTCCGCCTCTGAAACCTACTCGAACTTGGTCGAAAACCACGAACGACAGAGCGCGAGCGGTGTTTCAGTCGATCCAACGTGGCCAACTCCAAAGGTCATCGTTTCCTGCCGTGAGACCAGCGGTTGGAAGGTTCAGTGGCTCTCGGCGACGACGTGGACGGTGTCCCCTGGGCCATCATCAGCACCAGCGGCTGCCCGAACGGTCTGGTGCCCGACATCGACCCGCCGCTACCTCGTCCTGGTCAATGGAATTGCAACGATTCGCTTTCGTTTCACGCCTCCTCACCCGAATCCGCCGCTCTTTCTCTCTCTCCACGCAAGCGCCCTTCGTTTCAATTCACACTCTCGCTTTCCGCTGGCGATTCTTTTTTTTTTTTTTAGTCGTTAGTACGCGCGATTCCATGAAATCTCGCCCAGTGGCTGGCTGTCTCCTAATTAGGCGTGTTACACCTACACGTCTCCTCCGGGCCATCTACTCGGAAGTCGACGTGGTTTGGTGGTTTCCAGTTTCTGGTGACGGAGCATGGTTAGTCTTCTTTTCTTTTTCGTGTCGACGCTCTGCTGTTACGGTTTGCGAATTTGCGAAGCACAGCTGCTGTTTCTCTGATTGTAAGCTGTAATGTTTGGGATGTCTGTCGATCGATATTAGTCACTTCCTTTCCGTGGAATTTTGTCGAGAATTTTGTCGAGTTGTTAAGGATTAAGTTATTCACTCGGAGCGATCGTTTTGTTATTTATGATTTGTGTTTTTCTAAGTAGCGGGGTGCAAAGCGGGGAAAGCGGTCGTCTCTTCATCCCCGGAGACACGGTGCTTCATGGTGAAAAATTCAAATTCCGACGTCCTCCTTCCTTCCACGATGTTTCTTTGAAGAGACCGGATGATCGACGGGACTTCACATCATACGTACACATTGCACGATAAGAAAATAAAATAAAAATAAATGTTTCACGATAACAATTTCTTTTTTCTCGTAGCAGTTGCAGAGGATTTTTGTCAAACGTGGAGTGTTCACTCCGTGAACGATGGTTCTTCCAAAACTGCCTCGGCGAAAAACTCTCTCGAGATCGGGAAAATCGAATTCGTTCGATGATCCCGGGAATGTGACAACCGGACTGCAGACTTTCACGCAGGTTCACAGCCTGATATTCTCATTTCATTTGCCAAATATTATCGATAATTGCTATGTTTTAGGTTAATTTTAAGTTAAGTTTAAGTTAGGTTTAGGTTTAGGTTAGGTCTAGATAATTGCTATGTTTTGGGTTAGGTTTAAGTTAGGTTTAGATTTAGGTTAGGTCTAGATAATTGCTATGTTTCAGGTTAGGTTTAAGTTAGGTTTGGGTTTAGATTAGGTCTAGATAATTGCTATGTTTTGGATTAGGTTTAAGTTAGGTTTAGGTTTAGGCTAGGTGTAGATAACTGTTATGTTTTAGGTTAGGTTTAAGTTAGGTTTAGGTTTAGGCTAGGTGTAGATAACTGTTATGTTTTAGGTTAGGTTTAAGTTAGGTTTAGATTTAGGTTAGGTCTAGATAAGTGCTACGTTTTAGGTTAGATTTAGATTAGGTTTAGTCGCGTTATTGCCTTATTTCCATTACTCGGATCTTCCACAAAATCAAATGCACGAAAATCTGCAGTCCAGTGGCGAAGAAACTCGGAGAATTCTCCGAGTAGTACAAATGGCGCGCGGATAGAGAGGAAGAATGAAGATGAAGCAGGAGAAAAAGCAGAAAGAAAGACAGAGAGAGAGAGAGAGAGAGAGAGAGAGAAAGAGAGAAGATGGGAGATACAGAGAAAGAAAAGAGAGGCAAACTGTTACGAGTCATGTCCCTGAAGAACAGTACATATACTTCCGTCTCTGACAAAACGTATAAAAGAAAGAGAAACAGGGTTACGTGCCACCTTGAAGCAGAGATTGCCCGGCCATCGAAACCTATCGAAGCTCGTGGAATCACTTCAGCGTTGCATCCTACTCTTTCTTTCGTTTTTTTTTTCTTCCTCTTTTCTTTCACATTCCAATGCTTTTACGTAAAGTGAAACTGTCGTTGTAAACATCTGATATATTCTCGTCGTTGATCCTTTACTCGAATTGCAAATGAATCCGCCGTTGCCGAGTAAAACGAACTGAATGGAAGATTGAATTCTAGTAATTCTTTGCTACGCGAGAGAAATTTGTCTTCGACCGTCTCTCTCGTTTTAATTTGTAATGCTAACGAACAGCAGGTCTTAAAATCGAATCTTCGTTTCTTAATTACTGCAACTGAGTATATGTACAGAATGTATTTCTACCGGGTGAATCTACTTTGAAACAAAATCTAGAAATCTATCCCTCGCGTTAGATATAGCTAGGAAAGAGAATTTGAGAGAAATTCTTCTTGAAATTCTCCACCGCTAAAAATTGAATATACTTCATTTTTATGGAGTTCGAGTGTATCACGTGAATTGAAACGATCTTAAAAATCTTGTTCAATCTAATAATTTCTAAAGTATTGTTTAATTATTATAATTATTATAATAATTATATCATTATATTATAATTATATTATTTCTTTCTCTAATTATTGCAACTGAATGTTTGTAATATTGAGTGTTTAAAATCTAATAATTTCTAAATTATTATTTATCACAATTATTATAATAATATTTTATCATTATATTACAATTATCTTATTCCTTAATTATTGCAACTGAGTGTTTGTACACAATGTATTTCTACCGGGTGAGCCCATGTTGAGACAAAGTCCAGAGATACTCGGTATATACAGGTATAATCAGTAAAAAATGTTTGAAAGAAATCCTTCTCCTTTGAAAGAGCGTCACCAAAAATTAAATATTTTTCCATTTTTAATACGCTATCTCTTTTTTCTATAAATGACAATTGGACGAAGCCAGACCTAACGAAACGTTCCCGTAAATTGAGACGAAGTCTCTCTCAACTTTCAAACGTAACTCAAACCCTCCCCCTCCCCCCTCCCCATTTTGCACGCTCGTAAATTCAACTCTCAGAGATAGACGATTTATTGCAGTTTCGACAATTCGAGCCATTTGTCAGCTATTTCCCTTGTCACGGTAGGATGCACTCGTGAAGAGCACTCCACTCGCTCGCAGAGTCTAAGAAACGGGACGAGGTGATGAGAGGGGATGGGGGAGGGGGCAATAGAAAAATTGGCGCGTATTTCTTTCGAAAAGTAAGAGAGGGTGAGATCTCTGCTTCAAGGTCGAGAGAGGAGACGGTGCCTGTGTCTTACCAGAGGTGGACGAGGAACAAGGGTGGGAAGAGGCCCTCGCTGACGAAGGTGCTGGAGGATGATCTGCTGTGGGAGGCGTAGGTGGTGAGTTTGTCGAGTTTCCACGGATCTCGCCTGCCTGCTTCAGCACCTGGTATATGGCGTCCACGTCTGCCCACACGAGACACACAGAGATACCAACAGCGACATCGCACGAGGTGCTTTCTTTTCTTTCTGCTCGCTTTTATCTCATTTCCTTTCGTTTGTCACACCTTTCCTCCGCTCTTTTTCGACTCGAAGCAACCCGCTCTTTGGGCAACAAGTGTCTTCACGTTCGCTATAGTTCTACGTTTACGATTCTAATGACGATCCGTCTCGTTTCGACAGTGTTGTACTTTTAATTATCTGTTCGTTGCAATGGGATTTATTAGGTTACACTTATACTTGAGCGAATGAGTTTGAAAGATACCCGAGGCCCATTGGAACCAGGTGCTTCTCGTCAAGAGTCGAACTTCATTATTGTATACACTGACGGCACGTTTGTGTCAATTGTTCAGAGTCACTGAGCATTCTCAGCAAGACTTGGATCTCTTACGAGACATATTAATGCCTACGTCCAAAAGTTTCGATTCTAGAGTCATGTTTGTTTGGACGAGTTGCTTTCTACCATTATCAACCTGTTTGTAAATTAAATTTGCAATTGTGATTTTTATTTCACGAATGTGAAATTGGCTTCGAACTTTTACTCTTTGTGCAAGGGAAATTTCGAAATTTAAGAGAGAGCCAATAATCCGCCGCGGATCGGTACCGCGTTTCGCGTTGAAATTATTCAACGTCAATTTGCAACATCGCTGGAGCGAATGACGAAATTGGCGTCGATCGTTCGGAGGATGGGCTGACAGTGGTGTCAGTTCGAGTGAATCAGGTTAAAAGAATCGAGAGCGCGTAACAAACTGTTCAACAGGAAATTACACCAATAATTCCCGGCAACTCCCAAGCGACTAAACAGAGGTTAACTGTCATTCTAATTTCCACATCAAGGAAAATCTTTGAAATTTCTGAGCATTCGCCAAAAAAAAGCTAAAAAAAAAGAATACGCGTAGTGTTAACGTTAGTAGTTAGCACTCGCGTGGCGCTAGTAGTCTCGTTGGTCATCGCGGCCTCGGAAAAGAAATTTTTGACCCGAAGAAAAAACATCGTTTCTCACGCGGCTAATTGTCGTTCTAATTTTCACATAGAGAAAGTAGAGTTTTCGAAGAATTTGGAAAATCTTTGAAATTTCTCGGAACACTAGAAAATAAATACGCATAATGTTAGCGTTAGTAGTTAGCACTCGCGTGGCGCTAGTAGTCTCGTTGGTCATCGAGGCGTTGGAAAAGAAGAAGCTTTTGACCCGAAGGGAAACATTATTTCAAAAAACTCACGCGAGATCACCCGGAAACGCTTAGACGCTCGCTCTATTTCTTCAAGTTTGTAAACCTGAAAGCAATCCCGTTTCGGTGGCTGCGAATTTATCGACCCAGTGAGTTCAATCTCTAAGAAGCCTCCGAGCGATCGGCTTTCCTTTTTTTAGCTTCAGTGACTCTAAACGAGGACAGCCACGACACCTGGCCACACAAAACACCGAGATACACCATAGAGAAAGAGTTCTTTTTTTCATATTTCGCGGTCAGGGGGTGGAAGGGAGGGAAAGGAGGCCGAAAGGTGAATGATCCGATTAATTGGTTAACAGCGATGGACAGTGATGCACACCATGATCTCTGACCCTTTCTATGTGCCTTGTATATCGATGAATCGTGATCTGGGAAGTTGATCGAGGTGAAAAGATGAGGAAGAGAGCTTCGTGCAAAAGTTCGATTCTTCCATCGCTTCGGTACACATATTTTTCTTCCATTTTTTAGAGTTTCAACTTGCAGACCGATCGATACTCTTGTACAATGAAACTGAACGTTCAAAAGGACTTCTCCGATCCGTACGACTAGTTCATTTTTACGGTTCGAGGGTAATTCATTAACGGGGTAGACTTCAGGGTAGCCGGCGACAGCTGAACCGCGGAACCGAAAATTGATCCAGAATTAGATTTCAGGCCATCAGGCTTAAATTTCAGTGTAACGATTATTCGTCAATTTCACGCGATCTGTTTCCACCCGGCTTGCCTCAATCCCGGATCAACCCCCTAATCCCCGAGTCTTTCGGACGACCACGTCGCGGATTTCCATCGTGAAAATGATGAACCGATCTTGGTACCACCAAGACGTTCGACTCACGCAGCGTAGATCAGTCCCATTTCTTAGAGGATCGATCGTCCTCGACAACGAGAGAGAAAGAGAGATAGATAGGTAGATAGAAAGATAGATAGAGAAAGAGAGAGAGAGAGAGAGAGAGAGAGAGAGAGAGAGAGAGAAAGGAAATTAAAGAGAAAAAAATCAACTTTCGACACAGTCACAGTCCCTAACTGGCGAGTACTTACTGTATTCCGCGGCTGCGGTATCGTCCACTTGTGTCTGAGTCTTTTGTCGACGAAGAAGGGGGATCCCGCCGCTCTTTTTAGGCGCCAGGCTCGGGCACATGGCAGGCTGCACCAAATTGATGCAATCGGTGTGGGCGTTCGCTTTGCACCCGCGACACCTGACACCCTGCCGACTGTGGCCGCGCAGCACCTGGCCGCACGCATCGCACGGAGTGATCTTCCGGTAGGTGTACTCGCGCCAAGAGTGGCCTCCCTCGGATTCCAAGCTTTTTCTGCGAGAAACGATAGAGCTTTGAGCTTTTTCCTCTGTGTAGAATAATATAATCATAATACTATAATCATATTAGTCTAGTATAGAATACTAGTATAGTCATACTAATTTAGTATAGAATACTAGTATAGTTATACTAATCTAGTATAGAATACTAATCTAGTATAGTCATACTAGTCTAGTATAGAATACTAGAGTAACATAACAATATTCATATTAGTCTAGTGTAGAATTATACTCCTTCTAATCTAGTGTAGAATACTAAAGTAATAATAACTATGGTTATATTAGTCTAGTACAGAACTATAGTCATACTACTCTAGTATAGAGTACTAAAGTAATACAGCTATGGTCACATTAGTCTAGTATAGAACTATAGTCGTATTAGTCTAGTATAGAACCTATTAGTCTACTATAGAACCATAGTCATACTAGTCTATTAGTCTACTATAGAACCATAGTCATACTAGTCTAGTATAAAATACTACTCTAGTACAGAATACTAGAGCAATAGTCATACTAGTCTAGTATAAAATTAGATTAGAATACTGATCACAATGTGATGACTGGTAAGAACACTTTGAAATTTGACGCAAGTAGTTAAGACTAGTTAGATTTTGACCATTAAATAGCATATTCTTGGAATATACTATTAACTTTCATCATTTATTTGTATTTATTTTTGAAAACTATAGGTACCTATGTAAATGGTAGGTTAATGATGTTCTTGTTACAGTTAGTTTCTCGAGGATTACAATAATCGTAGAAAACGGGATTTCCTCGGAATCCACTAACAGAGTTGTTCCAAGAAATTACGATTTAATGCATCAGCGTTATGTATATACCACAGGACAGATGGTCTCTGTTCATGGGAATTAGGCTACTTCCGCGAAACAAGATTTCCAGATCCGTTTGCTACACCTGTTCCTAGGAACTGGCGAATTTACCATTCCCCACTATTTGAGATAGTTTCTCCAAACTTTGCTTATAAATTTTATCCAATCGCGATATTAGATATTAACCGAACATTCGGGCGTGGTAGGCTACTCACCTAGACATGGCGACGACTGTAGAAACGGCATGGTACATGGCCTGTTTCCCTCTGCGTTAGTGAAGCATTGACAACAAAACACAACAATACCGGTTATTCAAACGCAACCATTTCTGTTAACAAAACTCTACAACAAAACAGCTTATCTAAAAAAGAAAAGAGAGAAAGGAAAGAAAAAATCCATGAGAATAGTAGAAAACAAAAGTGAAACGAAAGAGGGAGAGATAGATACGAGTCCATTCCTCATTCAGTCGAAAGTTCATTCTCATCGAAATGTCTACTGACTTGTCGGTTGATGGCGGAGTCGTCGGCGAGCTGGTCTTCAGGCTCTTGAACGCTTTCAGCCATTTGTGCTTGGTACTTCCGGTCGAGCCATTCGACATCTTCCGGCTGCTCACCCCATCCGGTTGGCCGGTCTCTCCCGCCCCGAACAGCTCCTTCTGAAAACCCAAGCGAAACGTCACCTGTAACATCTGGACTCCGTCAAATGAGAGAAACTTTTAAATAGCATTCAGTCCTCTCCTAGCGCTGGGAAATTTTTTCAAAACTAAAAACGACCATCACTATGAGAAACCAAGTGATTGTTGGATTTGCTTTGGGAAAATTTGCAACAACGGAGGAAGAAGATCGAAGATTTTAAATAACTGATCACTTTTCGCCTTTGTTCTTCTTCCATTAAAATTCGATTCCCTGAATTTCTGCAGTTCGATGCGATCTCGCAGAAATATAACGAGACAAATTTATCAATAAAGAATCGAGTCCCCGTTCGATCGGGCTGCCTTTTTCCAATTCGTTTCTTCGTCCCAAGGCTGTTATAATAATGGAAAATGTAAACGGAACCGGATAGGGGCTCGTCACCGCGGCGTCGGGCTCGGACGCCGGATATTGGAAAACTTTTCAGAAAACTTCTCTGTCTCCAAACGGCGTGACAGCGTAATCGCAACGAGGATAGTCGAGTTTTTTCACGAGCCGTCAAGCAACTCGTGCACGACCGTCCGGTAAATAGATATCCGACGAAGTAGGAAGCCAGAACGGTTTTAATGCGGCGGCTCGGTCCGCCATTAATTGGATTCTATTAGGAACACCTGATGGCCTGATCAGGTAACACCCGGTTTACCAATATATGTGTATTATTTCTCCATTCGTTCTCTTTCGTTTCATCGAACAATTTCAATTAAACACGACCCGATAAATATCATCGTGTATTGAATATTTAAACATTTATATATCTCCTAAAGTATTCGAAAGTGTGCAAAATTTTTGAAATACACAGTTAACGAAAATTATAGAGTTAACTAAAAAAATTAATTAATTAATTAAAATTAAACGATTTTTTTTAAATATCATCGCGCATTGAATATTTAAATATTTCAGTATCTCGATGTTCGAAGATGCGTGAAATTTTGAAACAAAATTAAGAAAGCAAGAATTAACGTAATATTCGAAGATGTGCAAAATTTTTGAAATACACAGTTAACTAAAAAATTAATTAATTAATTAAAATTAAACGATTTTTCTATTAAATATCATCGTGCATTGAATATTTAAATATTTCAATATCTCGATGTTCGAAGATGTGTGAAATTTCGAAATAAAATTAAGAAAGCGAGAATTAACGCGTGTTTAATGTCGTTTTTAGCTATTCTCCGACGACTGGTTAGCTGGTTTAATTTCATCGAACGAATCCGCTAATTGAATCGAGGCGACGAATTTGTCGAACGATTAAAATTAGGACGAGCATCGATTGTGTTCCAGCTACCGAGATTCCTATCGTGTGCTCGAGCATGATGTTGGGGCTTCATTCATAAAGACACCGAAGGAGCATCGACCATCTTGCACCTCGCAATCCTATCACTCGCTCATCTCACAGAAACGGAACAGACGATCGATCAAGCAAGCAGAGACAAGAGAGATAATTCTATTTAATTTCTGTTCGATTCGAGATCTAACAGAGAGTTACGGAAATTTTCGAAATATACGAATTCTCTTAATAACAAAGTTCTTTTTTTAAGTTTTAGAAATCTTTCTCCCCGACATGTTTCCTTCCCTTCGTAATTGTTTCGTCGGAACATTGCACGAAGATAAGAACGCGATGAAGTTACGTCAGCGGTGTTGTGCGTTCGATCGAAGTGACGTAACGTTATTTACAAGTAGCGTTACGTTGCTTGAAATTAAACGATTATTGATCAAACAATGGCAACAGCACGCGATTTTGAGAACCTTGAGTTCTCTCAACGTAGAATTTTGAAGGGCATCCAAAAGGTGCCTAGATCCTAAATATGTGTATCGATCGACAAATAGAACCGAAACAGTTCAATAACTTTGCAAATAATTATTAAATACTCCGACAGATATTCGAGCAAATAAACTCAATCTTAGGCGCAGAGGAAATAGAAGATTGCAACTTCAGAAAGCGTCTGACTCGATGAAAAGAACTGCTAGGAATCCCCGACCCAAAGTGCCCCGCGAAGAGTCCATTCTACCAAGCAAGGAAAGCCACTCTCTCTCTCCGTCAGCGTGAAACATTCGATCACACGCAATTCCGAGCACGTGCGGCGAAAAAGCTTTCTCCCACACGCGTGTGTGTCTGTGTGAATGTATGAGTGCGTGTATATGACGCGTGTTAACCACGGGGGGAAGCGTCTCGACGCTTCGAAACACCATGCGTCACGTGTCCAAACACCATGCATCAGCTGGCCCCCAGACAGCAGGTGACCTAGCTTCCCGACATAGACCTTCGTCCGTCACTCGACTCCCTACAGGATTCCACACACAGATTCAGGCACAGTTTCACTAAATACACCGTTGTACGGACGTGGTTACGGGGCAGCAAGTGCCGGAGATAACCGCAGTGGAGCCGCATAGCAACGAGGGGCGGCGAGGATCCACCAGCGCGAAAAAGGCACACTCTGCGCTACGTGTGAAACGAGACTCGATCACTGCCTGGCCGCACACGACGTCGTTGCCCGCGACCTGGATCCGCGAATCGTTGAAAAGCGACAGCGCCGGAAAGGTGTGTTTCCTCGTGTGAATCCAGGTGTTGTGTGTTTCAAACGGCGATACTAACGACTTGTGTGCGCAGCGTTGTCCAGCCCATTTTCCGCGAGGACTAGCCAGGCTCCTCCTGCCACCCTGACCTAGGAGAGCGGACTCGAGGCCAGGAATGGATTTTCAGACGGCCGCCGTCGGTGGGTGACCCAGTTGTCAGGGCGCATGTCGCGCGATTGCGCGCCCGTATTTATTCGGCCGATGTGCCGCGTCGCGCCGCGCTATGCGTGTTTACGCGTATCCGATTTATTTTGTTTCGCACGCGTTTCATCCCTATCTCAGAGTTTCCATTGGATTATTACAGATTATTATTGTTATCAACAAGCATCTAGTTTAAATTGTTGAAATTGCAAAATGTACAGATATCTCAGCACAAAAATCTCAGGGCAAGTGTATTTATAGTATTTGTATAACAAAAATAATACGATAAATGTAAATTGTATATTGTGTACGATAAATGCAATATTTGAAATATAAATTACTATATTACGACGTAATATAGTACAGTACTCTATATAATAGAGTACTATACAATTTTATACTAATAGAGTATACTACACTTATAAAGTACTCTATACTATATTTATAGAGTACCATACTAATAAAGTACTATAAAGTATTATACTTATAGAGCAATAGAGTACTATAAAGTATTATACGAATAGAGTATACTATATTTATAGAGTACTGTAAATTGTATACTATACTTACATAGTACCATATTAATAGGGTACTATATTATACTATACAGAACTCTATATAGTATAATACTATACTTTATTGTATATAATCCAGACGAATGTAGTATAAATGTATAATAGATTATGTACAATATAAATTGTTGTATTTACAACAAGTATTAAATACAATACAACAACATATATTGTACTATAAAATATAGATACACGACAATACACGACAAGTACTGAATATTGAAAATAAAAGTGTTCCAAGACTTTTGAGTGAGAGTGTACACTTGTTTGAAACATAAGAAATATACTTAATCTAATTAAAGTTATTAGTAATAATAATCCTCTGATAAAACTCGTTCTGTCTGCTGACATTTTACATCCTTTACAGAAGTTATTCTGCTTACTTTCTTAACTCACTGTTCTTCTATTTATTCGAGAACTCATCAGTCTTTGAACTATTTTATTTATTTAATCCTCCATTTCCGTCCTTTATTTATTCGAAAAAACTATTGGTCCCTAATTTCTAGACAAAAAGGTAAAAAGTAAATATTTTATCCACATAGTCCTTCATTTATTCGTAGGATAGTTCCTTTCGTCTAATTTCTAGGCAAAGGTCCGAAACTCTAGTCGACCACAAGTGTTTTTCCTGACAACCAAATGAAATTTCATCTATTGGGAATCCATCAGGTCTATGAGAAGTCTATCAAAAGATTCGGACAAATTCTGATAGTTAAACGGACTTCGTTCTTTCAACTTTCAACTTCCCCAACATTTTAGACTCTTGATTAAGACATTGTTTAAGGATTCTAAAAACAAGTTCGCGAGTCGCCGTGAAAGTCTTAATTAGTCTTGGAACAGGAAGTTCGAACGTTTGAAGGAGGTTGGGAGGTGATTCTATTAATTAGAGTGCCACTTTTTCGTCTTCTCGTCGACACGTCTTTTGCTCTCTCGACTGAAACAATATTTACACGTTCCACAAAAGTTTCGATAATCGAGGAGGTTTTAAAAAATTGACAGATTCAACGCGATTCTCTTTTAATTATTTCGATTTCTTCTTTACTGAGAAGAGGAGCGATTTTTAGAATTTGGATTATCACGATAAGGTAACAGTTCCTCGAACGTGGGATAATCCTGCTAATTAGAGAATCGTATTTCGATGTCTTTATCGGCTGAACTTTTGATTGAAACAGTTTCTGAAAGAAAGTTTTCAAGAACCGATACAACCGAATAGTCTGCAAAGAGACAATTTTGCTAATTGGCGTGCCTCTTCATTTTTCAATTCAGACTATTTTTAGACCTATCAATATCTTAACTGAAACCCACGTTGGAACAATTTCAAAGAACCGGAGCAACTTTTGCTATTTCACTCCGCTCTTACATCGACCGGAGGTGCTTCTGAATATTTTAAAGGGCCATTTTCGACTCGGCCATATTTCACGCTGTGTCGCTCAGTGCGAAACCCTCCTTCGAATAGAGAGTGAAATTCAGAACTAAATAAAGTATTTGTCAATTTTACGGTAAGACTATCACTCCAGTTTCGTTTCACGGAACGTGTTCGGACACTTGATCTTGTCTAAACTGACCTCTAAATCTCCGACGAACGACAGAGAAACGATCTTTCTTCATCGTCTTCGCTCGAGAGTGATTGAGGTTAACGGAGAGACCTAATGCAAAGAAAATTGCCAGCAGGGATCGGGGCAAGCAATTATCGATATCTGGCCTGTTCCATAGACACTGGTATCTGGTGGCTACTGACAGGTCCATTAGAACGTGTCTTGTTGAAAATTTCAGTAGGACTTGGCCACGATATCGATCCCCCGCTGGTGAAAGCGCCCCTGGTCGGTTAAACGACCTTCCCTCAATCTCCAATCTCCCTGACTACGTGCCCAATTCTCTGGATCCACGGAGGATCATTTTACCGTTTCACTATTATCGAAGACATTTACCAGCCACTGTGCTCGTGTAATTAATCGGTACTCTGTGCCGAAGCTCAGCAGATTCGCAACGGAGATAAAATCGTCGGCAAAAAGATTTATAATTACTAATTAATTTATAGCACTGGTGTAAATTAATTACAAGTAACTGTAATACTAGTAACAGCGATGCTAGTATAAATTAATTGCTAGTAATAGTAATACTAGTATCAGTTAATTACTAGCAACAGTAATACTAGTAGAAATTACTAGTAAAAATGTAGAAAATTCATTGTTCGCTCTGACATGCAAGATGACAACGTAAATTGATCAATTTGTAGAGGTTGAATTGCAAGTTCAACGAATGTATTTAGTAATTAATTTATAGTACTGCCACAGCAATCAATTTATAATATTTGTACAATTACTCGTTAATTTGTAATACTAGCTAATTTATAGTTACACCAGTATTTATTATTGTCAATTATCTGTACTATAGATACTATCTACGAGTCAGTTGCACCGATTCACCTAAATGCCTGAATGTTCATTGTGGTAAGAAAAAAGTTGGCAACGTCACAGAGAGACAGGCAACGTCTATTTCAGGAGAGAATGGAGGCCCGGATCAGCCTCAGCACTTAGGCATTCAGTCATCCTTGGCGTGCCAATTGAAGGATCAGGACGCGTCGTATTCAGGAATTTCACGGATGCCCAAGTGGAACGCTCGAATCAGGCCAATCTCTTCCTAAAGGGCGACGCGTTCGGCGAAAAGTGTACGTGTTTCAAAGTTGTACGTAAATCAATATTATCGAATGTGGGGATACGTGCACGCTTCACGTACCTGCCTCTCGCTCGCGGCTTAAGAAGAAGGTACAGAACAAATTTCTCCCCCTCTTTTCCTTTCTTTTATCTTTCGACTCGTAAATCTAGCTTTGTGACTTTTATTCGTCACCCATATTGTCATTGTCCTATCCACACTGGCAGAAATATAGGAGTTAAAATAAATGTACAGGGTGTTTGGGTGATTCTATCTATGAAAAAATACGTCAAAAATAAGGAAGAATATTTTTCTTATTTTAGGCTTGCTTTTTGGAGAAGATCGAGCTTGAAAATCTATCGAGCACGCTTGAGGAGTTTAGCTAATTTTCGACTGGAAAGAAGAGAATATTTACAAAGTCACACCACGTGGAGAAATGTAGAAAATGTAGAAATTATAATTACTAATTAATTACTAGTGATAGTAATACTAGTATTAATTAATTACTAGTGGTAGTAATACTAATATCAATTAATTGCTAGTAAGAGCAATACTAGTATAAATTAGTAGCTAGTAATGGTAATACTAGTATCAATCAATTACCAGTAATAGAAATACTAGTATAAATTACTAGTAAAAATGTGGAAAATCCACTATTCTCTCTGACATGCAACGCAACAATGTGCACTGACCAATTTGCAGAGGTTACATCGCAAATTCGATGAGTTTCAAGTTTAACAGAGGTATTTAGTTTGGTCTAAAGTTGGGTTAGGGTAGATCCTGTAGATTACGCTAAATGCGATTCGGAATTTTAGTGGAATCTTCATTTGTCACGACAAATCTAGGATAATTCTGACTTGGGATTAGCCTCTGGATTATGTCTTTACTGCACTAATTTAAAGCTTACGCCCGTATTGCTATTTGTTAAACGAAACTTATCAAAAAGAATACTGCGTCACTTGCCATTCTTTCAACATCATTTTTCACAAAAATATTCGAGAAAGCTTCGGTCACGATTCTACGGAGAATCCAAGCATCGATAGATAGGCTGAAGTATTCCGGTTCGCCAAAGTGAACGTTTCTCGAACCACGTACCACGTACCAACATTCTTCACGTTCGAGTTATTTTCGCGACGAGGAAAGAGGATCGCGGATTCACGTCTTCTTGACTCGCAGACTCGTTTCACGATCTTTCGTCTCCTACCCCCACTTAAATCATCCTCCCCTTTTTTCCCAGGGAAACGAGTGGCTCGGAGAAAAGCTCGGGCTTGAAAAATCTGTCTCGCGTGTCTCCCTGTCTCTGCTTTTGAAGAACATTGCGCTTTTCGCACTTTCTGGCTTCGGGCCATTTTTTAAATTTCCCTCCAGCCTCTTTTGTAACTTTATTGTCGCCGTGCTCTCACTTGGAATCGAATTTTATTTCAAATCTGACAAGATATCATTTCTAATTCGTAACTCTGTCCATTTTAGAATTCTCGAAATTCTATCGATACCAAGGACTGTTCCTCCAAAGTTCTCTGACGAGCATGCACTAAATTTCGAAAAAAAGAAGGACCTCTTTTACTCTTCCATCCTACTTTACTCACGTCGAGGGATCGGTTATCAGTTTCCAATATGACGTCTTATTAGCGGCAGACGGACTGGCACGAGCGTACACCGCACGAGAGGAGGCACGAAACTGCCGAGCATCAGCATCACATGCAGGTGAACGAAGGCAAGGTGCATTGTACCTATTCGAGGTGGAAGGGAACAATGGGGAGGCTCGTGCTAATTTTAATCGGCTCGGCCACTCGACTCTCTTTCGAGAGAGAGAGCCACGAATGCAGCACCGCGGTGAACCCGAGTTCTTTTCCGCGTGGACGAGATCGACACGTTCCTTTGTCGCGGCAAGACTTCTTCGATTGGGCCTCTGTGTCTGAGCCCCGATACTAAAGTGTCACGGATTCCTTTCCCCCTTTGTCGCTCCCGTCCACTCGACTGGCGCTGATTAGGTGGTTGGACTGCTGATGAGGATAATGCTTTCAGCTGACCGGCTTCTTTTCTGGCCGATGATGACAAATTGCTTGCTGTTTCAAATTCACGCCAGATGATTCTCGTCGAGTATTCTTCTCCCGATCACTCGAAGAATTTTCTAGATACTCGAGCTGCTTGATGCACAAGACCCTTGGCATTTGATTTTCCTAGCAGAGCTGTGACTTCTCAGATGATTTATAGACACAATGTTTGATGAAGTTTGACAGAGAATTTTCTCGATACTTGCACTCTTGGTGAGAAATATTTAGGTTCACGTGTACTACTGTTAGCGTGGCTTCTCAGATGATTTATAGACACAATGTTTGATGAAGTTTGACAGAGAATTTTCTCGATACTTGCACTCTTGGTGAGAAATATTTAGGTTCACGTGTACTACTGTTAGCGTGGCTTCTCAGATGATTTATAGACACAATGTTTGATGAAGTTTGACAGAGAATTTTCTCGATACTTGCACTCTTGGTGAGAAATATTTAGGTTCACGTGTAGTATTGTTAGCGTGGTTTCTCAGATGATTTATAGACACAATGTTTGACGGAGAATTTTCTTGCAAGATGCTCGTTCAATTACGTAATTTAGTTACCCTGGAAAATTTCCTACGCTAGTATTATAAGGTGTATAACCACAGACACGAGTGCTAGAGTTTGAATGGGAACGAGAACAAAGAAACAGCACATCGGTGCTGTTCAAGAGAACAGCGGTGCGAAATCTGTAATTTTTCTCCTCCGCGAGATACATCTTCCCTCGGGGATCCGTCGCAAATCCAATTTTGCGATCGTCAAACGATTTCTCGTACGCGTACACACGCGAGGCTGGTTTTCTCTCTGGTATCAGAAAGTCAGAAACTTCTCCGTCGTGAATGAAAAAAAACTAACGACCCCGAGATCCGCCGGTGGAAGTAACAAGTTTTCAAAACTCGAGCGCGCAAAACTTCCGATACGGTTTCCTTCTTCAGAGATATTACGTTAGTAGCATTGACAGGACACCAATTTGCGATCGAACTCCCCGGTAATCGGTTAATAACTCTCCCCGTTCCCTTTGCTATCGATTTCTGCGAAAGTTCATTTAAAAGGCGTGTAAAAGAAAAAGAAAGAAAGAAACGAGAAAAAGGTGGGAAAAGAAGTTACTGGGAAAAGTTGAAATCACGAAAGTGAGAAAAGTGTGGACTGAGGTTCTTCGAAACGGGTGAAGCCAAGTTTCACAAGTTTCAAGATACTTAACGTTACTTCACTCGTCGACGAAAGATATTACATATTTTTTAACGGGCGATGCCTTTCACGCTCTGGAATTAATTAAACTTCCCCTCGAAGGCGTTTACTCCAAGTGAGTGAATCACTTCGTTGAAACTCCCAACTCCAAACAGAACTGTCGGACATCGTTTGCGAATGAACAATATCAATCGAAGTACCTGTGCTTGCACAGCTGCGAGGTACAGTTGCGCCTCGCCGAGCTCGAAACGCTTCATCGATATATCCTCCTGCAGCTCGGCCACTTTCGTGTAAAGGTTGCTCTCTGCGCTTCTGGAATCAAAGAAGGGATAGATCGTTTAACGACTCGTGCTTCGTGGATTAAACCTCGCGAGCGTGTCGAGTGTCTGCAGCTAGAAAATACCGGCGACAGCTCTTGAGAACCCTGTGGCCCTTTATAACGTTGTTTACCTTCGATAAATTGAACCAAAAAGTCAGCGAAAAGCGGGACAAGGGGTAATTAGAGAGCGAATTCTTTTGCCCGGCGTTAATCGTTTCTCCCATGTTTCTTTCGGTTACCGATCGGACCTGGGTCCGCGGAGCCAACACCGGCGCAATTACTTTCACCAAATTCTAAACGAAGGGTCCTTGGAAGAACCTAACAGGTTCTGAATATATCAATTCGTGTCACCAGGTTGACGGGACTCCAGAAAGGTCTACTGAATTCCCTGCTTGGGGTCGAAAGATTGACGCATTTCCGTTTGACATCCGATACCCCAAAATTGGGCTACCCACGTTCCGTCCCTCCCCCTTATAATTCATTGAAAATCTAATATCTGTTCGGGTCACCGGGTTCTGCGAACGAACGCAGAATGCTCTATTAACTCGTAAATATTTCACTCGGGTCGAGACGGGGTATAACGCACTTTCGTTGCATGCGGATCAACGTGTCCAAGGCGTCCTGGAGCCGCGTGATCTCTTGAGCCAGGCTATCCTGCTCTCGTCGTAAATCTTCCATCAGGGGTAGAGTACTGGTCCCTGTCGGGACTATTTCGTCCCTCAAGGACGGTATTTGGCTAATTCTTTCCATGGGAATTTGCTCCGGGGGACCTGGCGCCACGAACAGCCGTCTGGCTGGCTTCTTCGAGGGGGTCGCGGTGGCCGACAGGCTCCGCGCCAAAATCTGAAAAAAACAACATTCTCGCTTTAGTGTCGGTGGAGTAATAACTTTATCGACGTTCGATGCTACATTTATAATAAGCCGGTCGTTAAATCTTCCCTCTGTTTCTGTAGTACAGCTCAGAAGTTCCATTTTTAACTATCAAAATGAACCTAGAACTAGAGTTTAACCAGAACTACCAAAGTGATCAAAAATGACCAATTTATAATTTTTTTATGAACGTGGAAACAGTGTATTTTTAGAGTAAATAATTTTTCATAAAATATACACATACACTCCATTGTATTATAAGGCTTCTCTATTTTTTTTATCTTCGATGCCTCTGATGGAAATTTTATGCTTTAATCGTCGATAGTTTTATCGTCAATGGATTCATTTTTCATATTTTTTTCCCCTTCATTCTGCATCTTCTTGAATCTTTCCTATCAAAACACGTCAACTGAAAATCACGACAATGAATTTCTATCGCCCCGTTGCTTCATAAATAATTTATCAAATACAGAGTAACGATCCACGCTCTCTAAAAAAATAAGATCTTTCAAACAAGTCCACCTCCCCTCGCAGTTACTCCCACCCCTGAATAGCAACGCCAGAAACAATGCTCCCGCAAGTGGGCAATCGTTTCAGGCTAACAACCCGCGAATCCGGAACCGAGTGTACAGGAATCTCAGAAACAGCTTCACGCCCCGAAAACCGGGTATAGCTCTCGTCACAGTCCTAATTCGACTGATAGGATTACTCCCTATCTCTTATCCGTCGCTCACGGTGCACAGACGCTAGTTTCACTCGAGGCTCGCAAGCAAAACGAGAGATAAAGGGATACATAATTGAAAGAGGGGAGATGGGAAGGTGTCTCTCTGGCATTTCGACGTACTTGCAAGTCGTTCAGCGGAGCTATCACTTGAGCCTCCTTCGCCACCGCCTGATAACGCTTCGCCTGTTCGCCCGCCCTCTCCGCGGCCGCCTCCGATATCCCAGCCACGCACTTGCAAGCCAATCCGCATAGCTCCTCGTACACTTCCGCGATTTCGCCGAGCAGGCCGGGCAGGCACTGCGACTGGTACCGTTCCGTGATGGCATTCGTCGCTCTCAATTGAAGTATGTACGCGTTGTGCGCCTCGAAATAGGCGCGCTTCAGCTCCTGCTCGCTCCCGCCATCTGTCGTCAACAGCGCGGCGTACGCGCGCTTGTAATCGGCGCGAGCACGCTGCAGCTTCTCCTCGGTCTTTGTCACCACCTGTTCGTAGGCCTCGCGATGCGTGAACACCTGGAATGTGTTGTATTTTTTTTTTTTTTTTTTTCTTTTTAGCGATGATGAATTTATTTCTGATCAATGTAAAAATAATTTGGACAATGATTGTTTTGGGACATCAATGATAGTGAAGACTTGAATTTAGTGATAGCGAGGGTGGGCCAAAAATTTTTTTTCTTTTTTTTTTTTTAAATAAGACATCAAAATATAAGAAGAAAACTAATTTTAAATTAAATTCAAGTTCAAACATGATTTTTGGCCCATACTATACGTAGTGATAATTGTCTGTTCAACAACTAATTTCTGAACGGTTTAAATTTTCTAACGTCGTTGTTATAATAAACAATAATTCGAATTTCGAATAAAACTGTTCATGACTCTCTTACTTATAACTTTTGCTTTCAAATAAATAATTTACCAGATACGCATAAGAAGCCGAAAAATATCGAAGTGTTTGCAAGAGTATTTGAGAAAAAGTTGGAGTGCAAAAGGTTTGTTAGAATTCTTTTAAAATTTAAAATTTTGTTTCTTTATATAACTGCGAGCCTTGAAATTACAAGGGTGATTGTTGGTTTTGAATCATAGTTTTCGAAAATTGAGGTGGCTCTGATCTCGAGTGGCAAACGACTGGGAAAACTTGAGCCTCTTCTTTCTCAACGGTTGCTTTCGATTTGAAATTTGAAAAATCTGCTTTGATCTCGGTGGTGGAGGAACGATCAGACTTGCATCAGATTTAGATTGTGTCAGCTCCGAGGAAAATTTGGGTCAGCTCGCGGATTTGTATTTAGACTCCACTTCGGCCAGAATCAAATCTTACTTGTTAGACTCGCTTGTTAGACAGAGAATGTGCCATTCAATCGGGTTTAAATTAAATCCAGATTGCCTCTCTGTCAGTTCCGAGTTTCGTTCCATTGCCGCGGAATGCCTGGTCCGAATTTGAACATCGGATCAATTTTCAAAACCACCGAGATCCGCCACGAAAGTACAAGGAAAACGCGCCCCAAAGAGAGTTCCATTAGAAATATTTATCGGCCTTCAAAGAAAATCCTCTGACTGCCCAACAAAAATCTCATCGAACTCGAGGCACAACTTCAAAGGGATAAAACAGCTCACCCACGTGCAATTTCATCGTTTAGAAAACTCGGAACATTCGAAACCATGTCAAAGACACGCTCAACTGTCTTGTCTTATATTTAGACTGCGTGTCTAACAATGTCTCTTTTCAAATCCACGATGTTTTTGCACACGGAAGTCAGAGAGACTTCTCGTGGGTTTGGACAAACGTTTTGGAGACTTCGACGATTTTCAGGGGGCGACGAATCACCTTTCTCGACTGGAGTTTCCGATGGAAGCTGGCCTCCAAGGTGGGTCTGGACAGCTGCTGCTGAAGAACCGCGGCCAGATCTAAGTGGGCCTCCGCGTCCGACTGCACCTGACGCAGCAAACTTTCCCAAACCCGACGCATCCCGCCGGAATCGACTCTGGTGTCCCCGGATCGGCTGCGAAATTCGTCGACCAGCCGTCGTACGTTGACGGAGTGGCTCTCCATCGCCGCGCCCAGCTCCTGAGCGAACTCTGACACTGTCGAACAGAAACGATCACGAACGTGGTCAATTCAAGCATCGAACAATTCTTTTCCAGCGAACGAAATTGGTGAATTTGATAGAGTGGAGGTGACATATTAAGTGGTTACAGAAATTCGTCATGGATTGATTTGGTGTGAATATCAATGCCACGTGATTTAGCTGAGAAATCTTCGTTTGGACCAGTTTCTGATAATTTGTTGAATTCTCACAATTAGTGTTCTTAAGGTTCCAATTTTGATCATCAACGATACGAGCCTTGTTAATAAGAAAAAAAAGTTTATTTATTTAAAACACAGACAAAGAAGAAGAGAGGGAAAAGAGTCAACGGCAAGTCGATCAATAGCGCTGCCGAGCCTTCGACGGACAAGTTTATTTCGTCAAGCGACGTTTCAATTACCTGCAAGCTACCGACTCGATTAATTAAACGGGGCCGTTGTTTAGAACGTTTCGACGGATCTGTCGAGGCCATGGCCGTTGAATGGCGGCCGTTTAAAAGCGTCAAAGACAGACAAGAGGGTGCGTAATGTCAGACACACATATCGGCCACCGTTGATGATACACAGGGTACAAACACGAGTCGTCGAGTTCTCTTCAAATATTTCGAACCCGGCCCACTCTTGTATCAATAAACAATTACCAGCCGTGAGTGAACTGCGCTACGGCATCAGAGTGGGGAGGGACGCATTGTGCGCCAAAAACACAGCCGAGTGAAGCTATTTGGGCGAATTGCTTTCAGACAAAAACAGTTTGTCGAGTCTTTTAAAATCACAGAGGTCTACGTTTCGCGCGCAACGTGTTCTGCTATTTGATCACGTAGTCAGTGAGCGAGCTGAATTTGAAGCCTTGTTTTTAATGACAGATCGCGCGAAAAATTGCCCGTGGCCAAATTCGGCGGATCACGAGACGAGTCACCTCAACGAGTTCTTCCTCGAATTGTAATTAACACGATCTTGCTCTATCTGTGAAGGAGACTCGTTCGAAAATAGCAGGCCGGAGAACAATCAGTGGGGTCCAGGGAATAAATCGATCGGTTCGTTAATTATAACGATAACACGGTCAGCGTGTTGGTCGTTCGTTAATGCGAGGCTGCTTCGTTAAAAATTAACGAGATCTATCAGCCGGGACACTATCGCCTATAATGGCACTAAGCGTCAATTAATCTAATGGGCCACGCGAGTTTCGGGGACCACGAGTGGAGTGTAATGAATTTTCAGGCTCGTCAGCAGATTTATCTGGATCCACGGTATCTATGGGAGCATATTAAGTTCGAGCCTAACGTTTCTCGGTGATTTTAAGGTTTAGGGTTAGCAATACTGAGAGTATTAGTCTCAGTAAACGAAACTGGTAGACTTTGGCAGATTGGATGATGGCTATAGCAATTTGTCAACAGGGTAGTATAGGTGGATTTGGTGTGACCATGACACGAATACTAATTCCACGTGATTTCCAAAATGTTTGACATTAATATAAGAGGACGAGTTAAAAATGGGATGCCAAATTTGGGAAATTTCAGATTAAGGTGAGGAACTCATCGTTGAGGCTAGGTGAACAATAGTGAAAGAGTAATTTCTAGGATTTCAGTCTGCTAGTAAACGATTTTATACAGTAAAATTGGATGATTTTGAACCATTTAATTTACGTAATCTCGAATTTAATACGGGTATCGTGCGAATAACAGAGCTAAATGATGACAGTGTATTTAATGACTGATTCTTCAATAAATTCGATTATACCACCGACAACGGGTATTTACTGCTAGAATTAAATGATATCAGCGGCATCACGAATTCTGAAGTTCCCATTTGCGGAAACGACGCATTTGCCATCGGCTAAATATTTACGTGTACAGGCTGTTTCACGATATACGAACTCCGAAAATAAATACATATTTCACGTAATCAAATGGCCGACGTGACTTGAACGCAACTTGGCCAACACCGATTTGGCAGAGTTCTCTATCTCTGACGCGAAGTCAATCGAAATTTTTATTTCTCCATTGTACTTGACATAATATTAGATCTCCTCGGATCTCTTCACCAACAAAACTACTAAATCGCAACGTTATATCCAAGGCGTTGATAAATTACGTTGCAAGTTAAAAAGTTAGGATATATTAGAGTTAAAATCAGATTGAAAACTGGGAATTCTGATGCTTTCGGGTACGTATTATCGAATCACGTCTATTTCAGGTTAGATCAGGATATTAACTAACCCAGATTGCAGGGCAATTAGAACATTAGTCTGTTAAATGGTTATTATTATTATCGTAATTTAGCTGTTTAAAGCTGTCACGACTGAAAAATTGAAGAGGAAGCTATTGGACTGTGATTCTTTTCATCAGTGAATTTGGATCGCGAAATAATTAAGCGTTGTAGTGCCAAATTTGTACAGACTGATGTTTTCACGAGAGAATCATCAACTCGATTAGTTAGATTGTCAGATCAGACAACAATTAACGTGATTGACCTGTCAAATTCGCAGAGCTAGGCTTCACGTACATACGTTTCGATGGTGTTCGACACGGGCTGTTTCCATTTAGTTTTTCCAAAATGTTATTTCAACATTTGGGCCATGGCTTGTGACGGATATCAATCGAAATTCGATGCTTCAGCAACGAAACGTTCGACAGCGCGTTGCGGGCAGAAAATTTTATTTTTAACCACGAAACATTTCGAAAAAAAATAATAAAACTGGTTCGCACGTATCACGCGATATATTACAGATATTACAACGTTGAAGGACGCACTCGCGTCCCGTTCGATTAATTTTCGCCCTTTTAACGATCCCGACTACAATTTGAAATCGGCTCTGGGTCATGCTTTTAATTTTCCATTGTGCCCTGAGTTTCGATATCAATTTTAGCGGACTTTCGTCCCTTTTATTTTATTTGCCAGTCCCTTTGTCGTGTGGCGAACAATCAAGCCGTTTTAATCCCATAGAGATCGAGCTTTACACAGGAGAAATGGAGAGGAGGTGCTTGGCAAGGATTGTTTGGTGTTTGTCAAAGGCAGAAACTGTGACAAGTGGAAGACGAGGAGGCGAATGATTTCTAGTTCTTTGTGCCGCTAACTCGTGTATCCTCGGATTTTCTAACGCGTGTCCTCCTTTTTCGATAAATCTAAAATTGAGTCCAACTGAGAGCGTTAGAATTATTTGACTGTGGCACTATTGGTGTATTATTGTGCCAAGTATCACGTTTTGATATATCAAGATATCAAAGTTCCAACTTTAGTGTCAAGTATCAGGAATTGAATATCAAGTTTCAGGTTTATAATATCGAGTTTCAATATATCAAGGTATCAAGTTTCAGGTTTAGTATCAAATGTCAAGGATTGAGTATTAAGTTTCAATATATCAAGGTATCAAGTTTCAGGTTTAGTATCAAGTATCAAAGAATGAGTATCAAGTTTCAGCTCTAGTATCAAGTGTCAAGGATTGAGTATCAAATTTCAGCTGTAGTGTCAAGTTTCAACACATGAAGGTATCAAGTTTCAGCTTTAGTATCAAGTATCAAGGATTGAGTATCAAGTTTCAAGCATGAAGCATAGCAAGAATGCAATATATCAAGTTACATTTCAGTCTCCAGATTTTAAAAGTCATTAGACTTTACCACGCTTCATCACCGACAGTAAGTTTAAACGAAACGAATTTCGATTCTTCGAGGAAACTTACTTTCTCGAGAATATATAAATTGAAGCACGTGCCTTTTCCCATTGGTCTCGTTGAACTACTGTCGCTGAAAAGAAAGGATCCTCGTGAAAAATTCGGCTACTGCCACCGACGTTTGCCTCGAGGAGGCCGGTTAGTGTTGCCAACAGTTTCGCCTGTTAACGAGCACGGAATTGACATTCAATTACGCGGACGTGTTCTAAAAATAAAAGAACAGGCTCGATTAATTCCACGACACGGCGAACTTCGCGTCGGTCCAACGATATAGGCAAGCAGCGCGAAGTCACGCCATTAAGTATTTATATTTTTCTCGTTACAGCTGAAGCTCGCAACTTTTTCTTGATTAGTTCGTGACAGGTACAGCTGCCTCTCCGTCGACAATGTTTGTAATTACAAGCGGAGCTACTGGGCTGCTGTTGGCAAAACTGGAAATTTTTCATTAGGACAAGAGCCGTACAGTGTCGTTCAGAAATTTGGGACACGCGAGAATAATACGAACGAAGCGACGCTTCGCGTTGAATTATCTCACAATTAAGCGATTTAATCCTTAAAATTGTCGTGATTGCGAGTCAACTGATTTAGGAATGACAGTATTTTCACGCCACTGCCAGGAGGATCGAGTTGCAAAACGGACGAAGTTATTTTCCTACGTTCTCACGGATTCAGCTCAACTTCAACCTGGCGTTGGATTAAAATTAAAGTGTCCCGACCTCGGTTGGAATATTTCAGAAATGAATACGTTCAGGTACGAGCGAGAGACGGTTAACAAATAATTAAATAACACGGCTCAAAAGAGAGGACGAAATTACCTAAATGGAATTTAATTCAAAATCTCAGAATATAAAAATCCGCACAAACGTACAAATATTCTTGAATTAGATTGCATTAAATTAAATTGAGAATTCCATAAAAACACATATGTTCAAATTAAAGACAGTGGTGCGTAGAATCAAACAATTGGGAATTAAGTGACTCGAGCATTATCGTCGTTCAAAATAGCGAATTCTCAAAGTATTCGGATGCAATTGGCCACGATCGCGTCGCATTTCGCCGAAGAAACTATCGCGGTGAACACGAGACGTCAGTCTAAGTGGATTGTATTTGGAAACGGAAAGAACTTAGCGAACTCTCAACTCATTCCGGCAGCGGTTTGTCCCAGAAAACTTCCAGCGCGTTAAAGAACCCCTAAGCACGACAACCAGCGTCGTCTCGTCCCACCCTTCATTTTTTCCCCTCCACAATTCAACGGTGAAAATGTTTCTTTCGACTCGGCCCATCCTCATTTTACTTTTATCGCGAGTACAAAATTGTGTTTGTCGACGGAGT